GATGTTCTGATGCTGGATGCTACTTTCGCGGCTCTATAGCCGTTGTGCTGCTCATTATGGGGCTTGTAGTTTTGTTGTGAAGCACTTGCTCACTGTTGGACCTACCACAATGATTCGATCAGTTCAAAGGTCTGACTCACCTAACAATTTTGGCCCAGTGTAGGCTGCGCCGTGCCTAGGGGGTTGCTTCTGCGGCATATCTATGGTCGTTTCCAACTCCCTCTTCCATCGCATGAGGCTGCCCTTGTTAGATGTGCAGCGAGGATGGTGGGATCAGATGTGGGGAGACACGAGTTTGTTGTGTCTTACTTTTCAGAGTTTATGATTTGATATTGTAAAGTTGGAGCCGTTTTGGTTTCTTGAATTTTAGATCAGAAACTTGCTCGGAGGCGGAATTACTCTTGGACCTGGCGCAAAAATATGAGCTGACACCGCTGCTGCGATCGTGCCAGGAAAGCATTGAACCTTGGTTGCATTTCTTTTGGAGAAGTGTCAGTTGCTGAAAGTTTGGGCTTGGACTTCCTGAGGCCATTGATTCTCGCAACGTACACGAGCTCCTGCGCGTTGCTACACAGGTCAACCCACCGCTGGAGATCTTGAACCAGATGCTCTAGCACCGCTAATATCAGCTTTTGCCAGTTTAACGTTGAAGCTTTTTTGAGGTCAAGCAGGGGGATCAGGAAGGGTGGTTGATCACGGTAGAAGTTCAGAGTGTTCTGTAGCAGTGTGCGCTGAGGAAGTGTATTGAGTACTTGACCTCGCACCCAGATCAGTTCTGGACGCGCAGCCCAGCGCGTGATCGAAGCTTGCCAAGTAAGCACGGAGGAAGAAGAAGAAGTCCTGAAAGGTAGCATTAGCTACCTGAGTTCTATTTTGCGCAAGCAAGGGGGCTGCATCGTTGAAAGTCCTAGGTCCTTGAATTTTTGATTTAAGTATATAGTGATTCTGTTTGATAGTGGGGGGCCCCCGGCGGTTCAACTCTCACTGCGGGGCATCATTATCATTATCATACATGAGATGATTTTTGGCACGGTTCTTACAGGTTCTTTTACTGCGTCGGTTCCGTTCATGAGCACATGCGCGCACTCCACAGATCAAATAGACTTGCTCATCCCCGCGTGGAAGTAGATCAAGCCAAAGATGAGTCAGGTAGTCTTAGAAGCCTTGCTCGTCCAAGAGCAGTCTCCCTCGTCCATGCCATGTGTCCTCCGTACCTTTCGTTCACCCCTCCTCAAGTACTTGGTCCCGATTTATATCCACTCCAAGCGCTCGCAAGAGTACATGGTGACATAGAGGGTGGGAGGAGTTGACATGAGGCCAATCGTTGAGTTGCTGTCACAAAATGTCGGGGGTATAATCTCATCCAATGTAAGCCAATCGATGTCTCTTCAGAAGGTGTCTGGAAAGGATGTGATGGTGAAACCTGAGAGCACAACTCCCAGCCGCTAAATATGGGACAGTTGTGGCCTCTTGACAACCACGTGCAGTTTTGCCAAGGGTCAACTCTGAGTGTTTAGCCCTGCTTAGATTCTTATGTCCCATATGTGATGTGCATTCCGATGAACCACCTTGGGGAATGACGATTCCATGGGCACCAGCAAAACATTGAGGGCTACCTATGCCCGGGTTTGATCATGGGACTCGTTTTTCCGCCCGTTCGAAGGCGTGCCATCACAGATGCCAGAAGCGCAGCCCGTGGATAGTTCACCGCAGCCAGATTGCAATGGACAATAGTTTATCAGTTTTTCCCGAGAGCGTCTGCAAAGGGTTCTTCGTAAAAAAACATCTGTAGAACTACGTCTCATCTACATCTTCACATCTTCACATCTGCACATCTACATCTCTGCTCATCTTCACATCTGCACATCTACAGCTCTGCACATCTTCTACATTTGCACATCTCTACATCTCTGCTCATCTTCACATCTGCAAATCTACAGCTCTGCTCATCTTCACATCTTCACATCTGTACATCTACATCTACATCTTCACATCTTCACATCTCACATCTTCACCTCTCGCTCTTCTTTTCTTTCTCTCTTAAGGCGGGGGCGGTGCCGCCGGAGCACCACGAAACGGAAGCCTCTGCGGAGATCGTGCGTGTCGAGGGTGCGAATGCAGGTGAGATTGCGTTTTGGAGACTTGGCGCTTCACTTTTGGAGGAAGTCTTGTACGAAGCGCTCGTTTTGGAGACTTGGCGCTTCACTTTTGGAGGAAGTCTCGTACGAAGCGCTGGTCTTGGAGACTTGGCGCTTCAGTTTTGGAGGAAGTCTCGTACGAAGCGCTCGTTTTGGAGACTTGGCGCTCGTTTTGGAGAGTTGGCGCTTCAGTCGCTTTGGAGTCTTGGCGCTTCACTTTTGGAGGAAGTCTCGTACGAAACGCTGGTTTTGGAGACTTGGCGCTTCACTTGTGGAGCTGGACTCAGAGCTGGCCAGTTTGTAGTGCAAATGTAGTGCAGGAAAGAGCTTTTTGAAGCTGGACTCAGAGGTGGCCAGTTTGTAGTGCAAATGTAGTCCGGGAAAGAGCCTTTCGGAGCTGGACTCAGAAGTGGCCAGCTTGTAGTACAAATGTAGTGCGGGAAACAGCGTTGCGGAGCTGGACTCAGAAGTGTTTGCTTCTAGTGTGTGGGCAGACCGTGGGGCGAAACCCGTTCGTGATGTCGCAGTGCCATGCGGATTTGCGAGGTCTTGGTGGGAGCCCGGTCTTGGTGGAAAGTGCGTTTGCGTGGCGCCGTGCCACTGGGGAGCGCGAAACATGCTGGTGTAAACGCGGCGTGTCGCTGGTGAGCGGGATGATTGGCGGTATCGGCGGCATCGTGTGATAGGATTGCTTCTAGTGTGTGGGCAGACCGTGTGGCGAATTACGTTCGTGATGTCGCAGTGCCATGCGGATTTACGTGGCTGTGGTGGAAAGTGCGTTTGCGTGGCGCCGTGCCACTGGGGAGCGCGAAACACGCTGGTGTAAACGCGGCGTGTCGCTGGTGAGCGGGATGATTGGCGGTATCGGCGGTATCGTGTGATAGGATTGCTTCCAGTGTGTGGGCAGGCCGTGTGGCGAAATTACGTCCGTGATGTCGCAGCGTTTGCGTGGCGTCGTGCCACTGGGGAGCGCGAAACACGCTGGTGTAAACGCGGCGTGTCGCTGGTGAGCGGGATGACTGGCGGTATCGTGTGATAGGATTGCTTCTAGTGTGTGGACAGACCGTGTGGCGAATTGCGTCCGTGATGTCGCACTGCCATGCGGATTTACGTGGCTGTGGTGGAAAGTGCGTTTGCGTGGCGCCGTGCCTCTGGGGAGCGCGAAACACGCTGGTGTACACGCGGCGTGTCGCAGGTGTGCTATATATCAGTTTGATCTCTGTACACTTACATCTTCACACGCTCACATCCGCAGATCTGCCTCTCTACCTCCACACACCCACACGACATCTGCACATCTATATCACACCTGCACATCCACACTGTCACTCCTTCACATCCGCCCTCTCTTTCTCTCTTTCTACATATCTTTTCTCTTATTACTTTAAATCGAATTTCTTCGCAACTTCTTACTCAGTAACAGATTGTGTAAAGAAGTCATGGCTCTTGGACAACTCGATTTTATCTATTTCCTTACTCGGAACTGCTTGACAGTCACCTTTCTCGCTCTCGGGCCAACCGTCGTCTAGTTGTTTGAAGGTTATTATTGCAGCGGGTGTTTTTGTCTACATGAGTGAAGTACCCTGATAACACTATTGAACATATTGAAGCCAGTAGACTCAGTAGAAGGATGGAATTGGACGTAGAGTATTTAATATCGGAGACAGAACACCTGCATCACCCATGTGTTCATGTGGTTTCGCTGTACTGTATAGGTCTCGTTTCGTCCAACGACTGCGCTGCCCAGGAACTTGCCACCTTACCTTCACTTTGGTGCAGCGGGCGCGTTGCCTGTGTCACACCCTGGTGTGGCTGTTGCTGGATGTGCAGGCACTGGAAGTGCTGGAGCTGGTGCTGCTGGTTTGGCACAATTCACTTCTCACAGTTGCCCGGTGTGTGACTGGAGGGAGGCAGAGAGATGGAGTCTGGCATCAAGGAGGAATGGAGTAGTGCACGATGGAGGGACTGTGAGAAGAAATGCCATGAGGGAGTCCGCATGACATTCAAGACATCCAGCACGCTCTCGCGGGCCGCCCATGAGACAAACCACGCTCTCTCAGGTGCCCTGGGTGCACAGCTACCTCACCTAGGGGCATTCAGAGCTTCTCAGACGATGCATTTGCAACATCCAGCTGTGTCTTTGCGGGGCTCTACGCATAGCTCAGTGTCACGTGGCTGGACGGAGTGACTACATATATATGTTAAACTGTCCAGTGACAGTGGGTGTAGTGTAACTGGCTCAAAGGCAAGCAGTGATTTGTGTGGCCCGAATGGCCAACCCCTTATGTAACGGCAACCTGGTCTGTTTGTGGGACAGCAAGAGGAAGGCCCATTGAAGTGTGCGAGGTGGTGACAGGACCTATGACACCAATACCACAACTTTTCCAATTGAGATGCCATGCGAAACATCCTGCAAAGTGAGGCCAGCTTCGAACTGGCGTCCGCAGGCGCCGGCGCAGCCTGGGCCCTCACAGGCACAGCTTAGTCGCAAAGCAGCACAGAAGTCAAAGAAGGGTTGAAAAGAAGGTGACTCACCGCTAAGGCGGCAGAGCAGCCATCAGAATCTCTTAGCCAACCAACACTTCAACCGGCGCTGGTCATGTGATTTTTGAGCTCGCATGCTGAGGCGTGCCACCCCTTCAAGGGCAAACTCACGATATCTACCGCCGTTTGACCTCCGGCAGCTGAAGAAAAAGTGAGATGGAAGTCCAGTGCTTTGTACTGTTATGCGTCCTTATATACATATATCTTGGGTCTGTCCCATTACCTGCAACAGTCAGTGAACAATTATCACTATTCATAGTGTAGATGTCAAAGTAGGAGCTGTATGAGAAGAAATACCAGGCATGTCTGCTCCAGCAGGTTAGCCTCAGATGAGGAGGTCATTGAGGAGGAGACCTGTGATCTTGCTGAATCCGGGGGCTTGCTGTTGCTGTGGGTGTAGAATCAACGCGCTCGTGGATGAAAGCCTCAGATTTTGGATGATGTCCTTCCTAAAGCCGAGGTGCCATGTATGTGGCTCAAGTCCTCGCATCACTGGTTCATTGCCACTCATGCGGAGCCTCGGCGTCGAGAGACACGAAGATGCGCTTCCGAGATGTGAGGAAAATCAACTCAAGCACTCTTAACTAACCTAATGGCAATGGCCTCCACCCTAGTAGCGATGGCTTCTAACTCATTCACTCTTTGTCGGTACGTTGTTAAATGATTATATAGAGGTGTATTCCACGATGAGCTGCGAGCCCGCAGCGTGCTTTTGACCTCAAGGCGGCTTGTTCAGTTCATGAGAAAGCCAAGAAAATGAAAGACGGTGTGCGACATGTCGTGGTGCTCACACTTCATTTCCATTCAGGGAAGCCAATGCTCGAGTACTTCTAGGCGATGTGGGTCTACTTGCTGCATTGGGAAGAGGCATGGGGAGCTTTGTGCTTGATGAGAGAGAGAGAGAGAGAAAGAGAGAGAGAGAGAGAGCGCACTGTGCAGGATGCAAAGATGGTCTGGAACCCGACGCTGTTTGCCAGATGTTCCAAGTCTAGATGTTGCGCGTACAGAACAGCCCAGAACGGAAGGAGGAAAGAAAGCAAGCCAAGCCATGCTTTATTTTGCATTGTGCCCAGGTCGTGCTGGTGATCTTCGTGGCGTGGGGATGCAACTTGGCCAACCATGTGTTGTGAAGTAGCACGTGCCACGGTCATCGATCGCAACAAGAGTGTAGTGTAGTGCACTGTAGTGCAGGCTTTCGCTAGCTATGCTTCTGGGCTTGGCCCCTGGCAAAGTGGAGGAGGCTCCAAATTCACACTTTAGATTGAGCAAAGCTATGCAAAGCTCATGCGGTGGCTGCTTGTGACTCATGAAAAACAAGTGTTGTGAGGACCTCAACAGCCACCTGTTGAACGGGGAGCTTTGGTCAGCCCGCAGCCGTGAAGCCTTCGCTCCTTCGTGGCACCTATGTATATGTGATTGAATATGATTGTCTGATGTGTTTTTTTGGTATTAACAAACACACACACAGACATATATATATATAATATTGGGCTTTTTTGTTTTATATTATATTGTATCGTATTATATTGTATAATACAATGTCTATATACTTATTCGCAATTGTCAGGTCACAAAGACTTGAAAAGCAATTACTGGGCTAGAACGGGGTACTATAGTGGCTCAAGTAGCTTCACGTCCCTTAGATTATTGTTGCTAGTGCACATCTCCTGGTGCCTCAGGACTTTGTCCAGACTCTGTTGGCAGAGGATGTGGAATGCACTGCTCCCCTTGCTCTTTCCCATCCCTGGTTTGGATGCCTAGGGCGAGCTTCACTATGCCGCTTTTTGATGAGTTTCTAGTGCTTTGGTTGACCTGGAGTTTGAGAGACTGGCTGGACCTTAAGGCTTCGAAATGTGCTTCTGCGTCCTGGCTTGGCAGATGATCTTGCTCGAGAGGATGCCTTGCGGAGGTTGGGACTTGGGCGATTTGCTGTTCATTTTTCATCATTTTCTCCTTGAAGGAACCTTGTCGAACATCGAGTGATAGATGTTGTCCCAAATTGATCATGTGTTTCCTCACTCCTAAAGCGCTCACGGCGGGGCAACCTTTATCGAACATTCCAAGGTTAGCCTGCTATCAGGCAGCCTTAGCCCCAGAGCTTGATTATGGGCGTGCCTGCATAGGTGCTTTTCCTTGCAGAGTTCTAACGACATTTCCCACGTTGTCATGACGCAACTGAGGCCCTTCTCCTGGTGCCTGTTGAGATGGCCCATCGCGACCTAGAAACTTGTGTGAATTTTACCGATTGTAGCCAGGGTGTATTGCGTACAGTTGATGCACAGCCGCTGCTGTCTCGGCTAAATAGGGCCCTTGAGTCGATTCGCTGCTGCGAAAAGGAACCGTGCGAGATTCAAACTGGTAGCGGAGCAGGTTCTGAAGGGGCACCCTCAGGATCTGACTCACCCGGGGAGACTCGCTGGATCCAACCGTTGAACCCAATTGCGTGACCCTGCGCGCAATCCGTTGAACCCGTTGAACCGTTGTAATTCCAGTGCTTTGCGAAACTTGTTGAGTTGCGATGTCGCTGGCTGGCCTGCGGTACACATCCCATGGAGGAAGTATCTCAGGACCACAGGAGACGAAGAGCGGATCATACATCTACAGTGGCAATCCAAATGGTTTAATCGAATGGGAGTTTCGCACCAAGGTCCGCGTTGCTCTGTACAAGCAAAAACATGCGAAGAAGAAGAAGTCAGAGAAGACCTATTCGAGTCATGGAAGCCAATCAGCCACACCAGAACGTTCTCAGAGGAGGCCGACTCATGCGACCGAGGCTGGGGATGTATCGGAGGATGAAGAAGTACGATTTGACGCTTTTGGAACCCCGAAGTCCGAGAGCGTGGTGGACGAAGAAGAACCAGCTCTGAGCACTGCCGGACTGGATGATGATGGAGCAGAGTATGCAACACTTGTTCACAAGGTGTTGGAAGGCCTGCGAGGTGATGCATACCTTGCAGCTCAAGACATGGGATTGGAGAAGTTGTTGACCCCAACTGGCATCGATGAATTGATTTCGCGTATTCGTGCACAGGTTTTTCCACTTCGACAGCAAGAAGCACGAGAGTTGTTCAGAGTTGGTCAACTCCCACATGGTCCCTTGTCTCGCCAATCGACAGAAAGCATGACTAGCTATATTTCACGAAGACGTCGTTGGTGGAGGAAGCTTTTGGAGATGGATGATGGGGTAAGTCTTTCAGACCCCATGCGTGGTGAGCTACTTCTGGAAGGCTCTGGCTTGAGCAAGACAGAACAGCTCATGATCAAGACAGCTGCAGGCGACAACCAATCCTTTGACGTTTACGCCAAGTTCTTGCTTGAATTCCATGGACAAATTCACTTGCGCAGCTGGTCCGCTTTTGGCAATGCAAGCCCTCGGAGGCAGAAAGGCGGAGGCAAGTTCTCAAGCAAGTCTTCCTACAAAGGAGGAAAAGGACGCAGTTGGCAAAGATCTGCGTACATTGTTGAAGATGACTCATGGGATTTTGAAGAGTCCTATGAACCAGAAGCAGAGGACGACTATGAGCATGAAGCTTATGTCGCAGCAGAAGATGAAGAACCAGAAGACGAAGAACGTGAAGACTATGTCGAGGACCCTGAAGTTGCCACAGCGTTGATGGCAATGGGAGAATGTGATGATGAAGAAAACGATGTCTCAGAAGAACTGGGCAGCGCAGCCCAGCACCAGATGATGGCCTTTGTCGTGACTGACCAGTTGAAAGGCAAGAGCAAAGGCAAAGGCAAAGGTTCAGGAAAGAAAGGTGGAAAGAGCAAAGGAAAAGGCAAGTATGTGTTCAGGACACAGTTGAGCGTGCAAGACAGGATTGCACGTCTAGCAAAGTTGAAGTCAGTGTCCAAATGCTTGCGTTGTGGAGGAAAAGGACATTGGGCAGGAGACCCTGCCTGCAAGTTCCCCAAGCAGAACGACAAGTCCCCCGGAGGAACGTCGTCAACGAGCAAAGCCACAGCCTACTTCGCATTAAGTGATGATGAGTCTTCTGTTGAAGATGAGTACATGTGTGTCAATGTTAGTGGCCAAACTGCCGAAGGTGGCACGTGCTATATGGCATACAAGATGTCCCCAAAGAAGAAGCTGGAGTTTGAACCGTCAGATCGTGCATCCATGTCGTCAGGCGTGACTAGCAGTCCACCGTCTAGCTTTTCGATGGTCGAGCCAAATGTCCGTCGGTCACCGCAGAAGTCCCCGCCGGTCATGCGTAGGAAGAAGGACATGGAGCAAGACTTGCTGCCTGAAGGTTCACAGAATGTTTTCGTGTTTGGTCAGCACCAAGGTTTGACATACCATGAGGTGTTGTTCAAATACCCTGGGTACTACCAGTGGGGATCAGGCATTTCGCACCCTTCGCGCTGCTTGGCAGATTTTCTGACCTGGGTGACCACGTACTACGAAGTCAGTCAGGACGGGGACGTGAACTTGAGAGAGCATCCCTTGACAGACGTGCCGGTGGAGGCAATTCGACGTGCTGGAGACAAGAGTGCCAGAGGGAAACCACCAAACCCCCCGCTAGAGGAACCATGTCGTCGTTGCACCAGATTTACATTTCAAGGTTCAAATGCATATGTTGAGAACAAGACATGCCTTGACTGCGGAAAGAATGAGAGAAAGAAGAAAGAGAGCAAGCCTGTCGCCGATCCCACAAAGTGTAAACATGAGGTTACGGATCGTCGGGGTAGTTCGAAGACCACATCCCGTTGGTACTGCAAGTTGTGCGGGACCACTGTCGACGAGATGCCCCGAGAAGAGGCGCGCAAGAGAGAGGCGATGGCAAAGAGTGTGGTAGGCATGCGTACCAATGCATTCGACACGACAGCATCCATGATTGAGAATGAAATCAACGATGCATGCATGTCAGCTGAAGGAACCCTAGAGGTCTTGGAGATGTTTCGACAGGAGGTTGAGTGTGAGTTAGAATTCGGAGAACCTGTGAGGGTTGGCGTCCTGTTTGAGATCCTTGCCAATGCCGTGGAAGTCATCAGAGAGGCCGCTCCGGAAACTTGCTACATGGGACTTTTGTCGGATCTCAATGAAGCCACAATTGAAAACACACTTCGTCTTGTTGACATCATGGAAGACCCTGGAGTCTGGGCTGTGTTGGACGAAGGATGTAATGCAACTGTTTGTGGACAAGCGTGGGTCCAAAACGCCAAAGACAAGTATGCACGTCTTGGATATGATGTAGCGGATTTGCAGTGTGACTCAAAAGCTTGTCGAGGACTCGCCGGTGACACCAAAACTTTGGGCAAGTGCCGGATTCCGTTCGCGTTGACCTTTCTGGACCCCGAGACGAAACTTCCGGGAGTCATGGAAACGCATGTTGTCGATGGGAAGATTCCCTTGCTTTTGTCACAGCATGCTCAACTTGCATTTCACAAAGTCTATGGGTGATGCCAAGTGTTATGTAGGAAATGCAGAACTTGAACTGTGCAGAGCTAAAGAGCCTAAAGCCCAAGAGACTCCCAAAGCAACTTCGAGAACTTAAGAACACGGATTTTGGCATGAGCTTCAAACATTCGTCCATCAGATCAACTGACAGCATTCATGGCTGACGAAGAGCGCCCAACCAGAGGCACTTTCACGCTGGATGATCCCGCTTGCGTGCGTATCTTGACGTGTGGAAAAGAGTTTCATGGCCAAATTGCAAGCTTCGACCGTTGCAAGAATCTGACTACGTTGGGGCCTATTTTGGCACAGTTTGATCCCGGGAGGCGACTGCTAGTATTCGACTGCATGGGATTTGGAGATCCTCAGCACAACCCGCAATTGCGATCCCATGTTGGCACCCATCCTGAGATCATTCGAGGGATGACTGGCAGTGAGAAGACGATGGAAGCATTGCTATATGGACTTCACCATCTGAAGGGATGCCATGAAAAGGGGCAACAGCTGGCAGTCATAGCCTATTGCAGGCGAAACAGACACAGATCTGTATCTTTTGGTTGGCTGCTTGCAACGGCATTCAACAAGCTATGCCCGGGAGCTCACCTGACCTTGACACATTCCAACCAGGAAAATTCATGGAGCCAGATGAGCGGCGCGTGCAAGGGCAAATGTGCCACGTGCACCCATGAGTCGCATGATGCTTTGGAAGCAGCCTTGAGGTCGAGGGACTATGTCTTGAAGCAGTTCGGCCTGAAGGCAGCACCGACATACAGCCATGTTGGTCAGGTCGTGTTTGACTCTGAAGCTGAGGCCCGAGAGAGTGAGAGGAGGACTCAAGCCCCTGTTGATGCCCGCGTGTTGCCACCACCGCCGTGTCCGAAGAAACCACCACTCATTCGCCCTGCAGTAGTCAAGGCAAGCCCAGCAAAAGCATCAGCTCCCATGCCAAAGGGGACACATACCATGTCTCACAGAGGACCAGGACCCATGAGGCCAGTGTCACCAGATCCACCCCTCGCTGCAGCAACACCAAAGGCACCGGCATCCGAAGCACCAACACATGAGGAAGATGAGAGTCGATACAATGAAGATGCTGAACTTCGTCGTCGTGACAAGGCCGGGACCTCCAGGCAGGCAGAACCAAGAGGTGAATCCGTGGCAACGAGCCAGCCTGATGCAGCGACGCAGGCCTTGCTACAGACTGTTGAGTTGTTGACGCAGCAAGTGAAGCACATGCAGGATCGTGAGCATGAGAGGAGGCGATCACGTTCGAGGGATCGTCGCCGGAGGACGCGGTCAGACAGCCGGGAGTACTACCGCGGGAGGAGGCGTGATGACAGCACAGAGTACCGGCGTGGAAGGAGCAGGAGTTTGTCGCGGAGAAGGTCACCTTCATTTGGCCGCATCCCAACGCCCCCAAAGTTGCTCCCGAGAGAGCCGGATGAACCGCCACCTATGGCATTACTATGGATCAGGTCGTGGAACCAGTCGAGACTCGGAACAGTCGGCTTGGCATGAGCGTCGATATGTGTCTTCATCGGAGCGCTCAGGAGCATCGCATTTTCCGAGGGCCACGGGTGCATGGCCATCGCATCTCGAATTCCCTACAGTGGAAGGCGATGGACCGTGGAACCGTCGAGTGAACCTCGAACACATGCCGCTTGAATTGCTTGACAGAATCTGGGATTCAGTGCCAGATTTGGGAATGAAGGCCTCGCGTTGTGCCCTTCGCTGGGTGGGGCCCTTCTTCCCTGGGTCTACGTCACTCACCAGCAAGGAGATCGCTAAGTCGAACCACGAGCTCAACGTGAAGATCGTAGTCCA